GCTGGACTCTCCTTGGGGTGGTTTGTGTATGCTGCAGCATTTTCTCTGTACCTGCCACTCTCAAAGTCTACAACCCGCCGTCATTGCAAAGGAGCTTGTCTCCATGGAAATGCAACAAAGCTGACAAATTTTAAATCATGCTTCATTGATGACATTTAATTTCTGTCTCTGTTTTTGGCGTGAGACCGTTCAGCGGTAAAAACCCATCTATGACTTGACCAAAGCTGACGACTGCTAATCTGATACTAGCATGTGTGACCTCATCATTACGTGCCTGCCAGATCCTGACTGTGGTGTGACATCATCTGTTTGCGCCTATGGATTGTTTAGCCTTACAACATTTGCACCTCTGTGCCACAAACACACGTTTGTGCTAACAGTGTTCTGAAAGCAAAACGGACCTCCATTAACACCATTACCACCACAACAGGCTGTGGTCTGAGCTCTTTAGCCCCCAGTGAGATGTGTGGTGCACTGTGGGACAGAAAGCACTTTGCAGTGTAGGGGATTGTTCATTGGTGTGTTTGTGTTGGGGGTACTAATTTTGTAACTTCTTTCCTCTGTTTTCTGTTTGGTTTGTTTTTACTGCAGTGCCTGTTTAGCATAAACTACAGGCTCTTGCTTGCTGACGTGATGATGAGACGCTCCCTGGATCACTGTGTCTGGCGCGCTCAGCACCTTCGCTAGTTTCTTTGCAGTGAAAGAACTTGAGATAATTTTACAAACGGTCAATAGGTGGCGACATTTCACGCATACTTCTCACAGTGTTCAGCATTTCCCGGATTTTTGTGAGCAGGTGTCGTTAAAGTGTCCGTACACGGACAAATGTGTCCGTGGCAATTTTTTTTACTGAGGAAAAACACTATTTAGGCTACATTTTAAAATAGCATTTTGAACAAAATGGCCAGGAAGGTCAGGATTGGCCATGGTGGTTGACTCCCGTTTGTGAGCCGGGCGCTGTGCAGCGTCTCTCAAAGCGCTGGGCCTCAGACCGTCCGGTATTATTCTACATGAGTCGATTATCTTTCCAGCCTTGGACTGGTTCCAGCCCGAGTGACTTTGTAATGGATAAATGTTTCGAAGATGAATAGATGGATGATTATCCTCCCATTCAGGCTTTATAATCGCCAGCCCCTGCCTTGTCTCTCATTTTGAGTAATACAGGCTCCAAGCTTGTAGCAGATAAAAGCTTGTGGAAAATGTTATTGATTTTATATTGGCATTTCACCATATTCAAGTGTACAGGGAAACTGACGGAAATCACATGAGATCATGGTTATAATACAATGCGGGATAATATTATGCAAGGCAAGCAAAGCTTAGAATGCAAAATAATACAGGGGCGGTAACACTGTAGTGCACTGTAATGAAACATGATATCCCATAGACAGCTCTGTACCCATGTGATTGTCCTCTTATCCCTCATAACTAACCTGGGCCCTCAGTGTCTCCCTGTGTCCTCTGCACT